GCCCAGCTGGTTGGAGCATCATGCCATACACCAAAAGTCTGGGGATTCTCCCCGGTTGGGTGCCCAAGGCAACTAATTGATGTTTTTCTGTTTTTGTCTTCCTTCCTCTCTCTCTAAAATCCATAAACATGTCCTTGGGTGAGGATTAAAAAAAGAGGACAAATTTAAAAAACTGTTTATAAAAAGATGTGTATGAATAATCCGGCTTCTGTGGCCCTATGGTCTCCAACTAGAGAACCTGTGACAGAAGTGTCCGCCGCCATTTTTCCCTTTTTTAAAAACGATTAAATTTATTGACATAACATTGGTTAATAACACTATATAGATTATAATCCAACACCTGTACACTCTATTGCATGCTCCCCGCAAAATCTGGTTTCCTTCAGTGACCATGTATTTGACCTCTTAACCCAATTTGCTCTCTACCCACTCCCCTTCCCTCTGGTAACCAAAATTCCATTGTATGAATCAGTGAGGGTTTTCTTGTTTGTTTTGTTATTTTCTTTGTTACTTTTTGTTTTATAGTCCATATATGAGTAAAATCATATGGTTTTATCCTTTTTTTTTCAATTTGTTTCACTTAGCATGATACTTTTAAGAGTCATCCATGTTGTTGCTGACAGTGATATTTCAGTTTTTTATGGCTGACTAGTATTTCTTCTTGTGTATATTTATATATGGATACATCTACTACATCATCTTTATTCATTCATCCTTTGGTAGACAGTTGGGTTGTTTTCCATCACTTTGATAAACACACACTGTTTTGGTAACTTGACTTCCTGATGACTAGTTTTCAGGGTTTGCTTCAAGGAGATGTCCATAGGTTCCAGGAGAAAAGTCTTTGTTGATAATATTCACTTTTGTATTCTAAATTGTATGCTTTTAATATGCACATAAGTAATCTGCAGATATGAGTCTTCATCATGGCTACATATGCATTCACACACACAGTGATCAGTTGCCTGTAGACATCTTTTATTTCCTATTTCCTGTGCTTATTTGAAATCATTTAGCCATGGTTGGTGTAGCTCAGTGGATTGAGTGCAGGCTGTGAACCAAAGGGTCACCAGTTCCATTCCCAGTCAGGGCACATGCCTGGGTCACAGTCCAGCTCCCCAGTAGGGAGTGCGTGACAGGCAACCACACATTGATATTTCTCTCCCTCTCTTTCTTCTTCCCTTCCACTCTCTCTAAAAATAAATAATAAAATATTTTTTAAAAAGAAAAAGAAAGAAACCATTTAGTTCCCTTCATTTCCACAGGCTGTCAGCAAACAGGAAGGTCACCTGTGAGGGTAGGAACATTCTCTCTCACTCTTTCAGGCCATTTGATCCCCCCAAAGGGGGCAAGTATTGGGGTGAAGCTGCAAAATTCTCGTGTTTTATAGACAAACAGAATGGCTCTTCTTCCCAGTCTGTCACTGTCACTTCCTCACTAGGTGACCCACCACACTAAAGCAAAAGGATGCTTATGAACTGGGGCTCCTTCCCACCTTTTCACCAGGTGTGAAGTAACTCAAAGATCTCTATAATGAAAACAAAACTGAACCTAATCCTGTGGAATAAAGCCCCACCTGTAACATATACCTTCCCATTTTAACCATTTTTAAACCATCATCGCCATTCTCCTCCAGAACTTTTCATCTTTTCCAACTGAACCTCTGTACCCATTGAACACTAACGCCTATTCCCCCTCTCCCTGTTTGCTTATTTTTGATAATAGGGAAAGCAAGGAAATGAGAGCACACCAGGCTAAGATTTCTATGGAAAATAGCAAAGCCATCAGCCAAGATAAATCTATCAAGAACAAAGCAGAACGGGAAAGGTGAGTGAGAATGTTCTCTGAGAGAATGTAGCATTGACTTGAAGACATAGGCTTAACATTTATGTGTCTGGACACACATACTCGCATTGGAGATATGAAAACCGTGGTGAGTTTTGGCTGAGACTTCTGCTATAAGATTTATTACTACTACAGAGCAGTCATCTCCTGCTTGTTTACTACAACCAGTAACATATTGAATTTACATTCAATATATGTGTGCTCACTTACAAACAAGCTTGGAAGCAAGAGGGGCCAGGGAATGGGGCTGAGCAAGGCCATGGTCTTGGCCGGACCTGCTCTTCAGCCTGACCCCCAGCTCTGGAGTACACACTGCACCGTAGATGTGTCTCTTTGAGCCAAGTGTGTCTTGGCTCATGCTTCATTTTATTTTGCTTCACAGATGTCACATGCTTTAGAAATTGAAGACAAGACCCTCCACCAAAAAAGATTACCACTCGCTTTACTGTGATGCCTGCTTTATTGCTGTGGTGTGGAACCAAAGCCACACACTGGTAGTGTGCCTGTAGACATGCGACCCAGACAGGGAACTAATAGCACTGGAACCCAGTTCTTAAATTATCATAGATTCTGAGTTACTGGTAACCTAATTAGCAAAGTTCTTTATTTAATCTTCTAACTTTGACTTATATACTTATTTATCATAACTATATGTCTGGGTGGTTCTAAAACACATGCAAATGGCTGGTCTTTTTAGAAAGCAGTTTTTCTGTGCTTATTCTATGCAGTTTTCCAAATGCTTACCTTCTATATGTCTTTCTTAGCTCTCTGATTATACATTTTTAATTTTAATTATTAATATTTCTATAAAGACACATCAGAAACAATAAAAAATGTATCATCAGGAAGCTAAGAGACATATAGAAGGTGAAAAGCACTTTTATTCTTGGGTCAAACAAGACAGTTCAACAGAAATTACACAGTATTTATAACTGACTGACAATGCAAGCACGATTTATTAATGTGTAGAAAGTAGCTAAAGTGCACAGCAAAAGAAACCATCACCAGCACGAAGCAACCTACAGAATGGAAGAAAATATGTGTAAACTATCTATCAGGTAATGAGTTATTATCCAAAAATGTAAGGAACTCACAGAAATCAGTAACAAAAGAAATCAATAATTCAATTTAAAAACAGAGGGCCTAAAGAGACATTTTTTCCAAGAGCGATATACAAATAGTAAATGGGTACATGAGAGTGTGCTCAGAATCACTAATCACCAGAAAAATGCAAATCAAAACCGCAGTGAGACATCACCTCGCATTTGTTAGAACGGCTATCATCAATAAATCAACAAGTGTTGGCAAACAAATGGAGAAAAGGGAACTCTGTGCACTGTTGGTGGGAATATCAATGTACAGCCAGCCACTGTGGAAAAGAATATGGAGGTTCCTCAAAAAAATTAAAAATAGGCTTGGCCTGTGCAACTGGGTTGTTTGGAGCGTTGTCTGGTAACCAAAAGGTTGCAGGTTCCATTCTCATTCCCAGCGCATACAATCCCCAGTCTTGGTGCAGGTGGGAGGCAAGCAATGGATGCTTCTCTCTCGCATCAATGTTTTTCTCTCTCTCTTCCTCTCTCCCTTTCCCTCTGTCTAAAAGCAATGAAAAAATGTCCTCAGGTGAGGATAAAAAATAGATAAAAATAGAACTCCCATATGGTCCAGCAGCTCCATTTAAGGGTATATATCCAAAGGAAATGAAATCACTCTCTGGAAGGAGATATCTGCATCCTTATGTTCTTTACAGCATTATTCTCAATAACCAAGACAGGGAAACAACCAAAGTGTCCATCAGTGGATCAGTGGGCCAAATTTTATAATTTAGCCATTAAAAAGAGATGGCAGTGCTGAAAATTTGCAGCAACATGGGTGGACCTCGATGACGTCATGCTAGGTGAAATTAGAGAAAGACAGATATTCCATAATCTATTTATAAGTGGAATCTAAAAAATGTCAAAGTCATAGAAACAGTAGAATGGTAGTTACTGAGGCAGAAGGTGGTAGGATGAGGAGATGTTAGCTAAACAGTAAAAACTGCCAGTTATAAGTTGAATAAGTTCTGGGGAGCTCTATACAGCATGGTGACTATATTGAACAATACTGTATTATGTACTTGAAAGTTACTAAGAGAGTAGATCTTAAATGTTCTCAACACAACAAAAAAAGGTAGTTAAAATGATATTTAAAGCGAAAATTATAGCCTAGATGTACACATTTTAAAAAAGAAATGAATATTAATGAGCCAAACACTCAACGAGGTTATAAAATTAGAAAAGCAGACTGAATGCAAACAACTCAGATGGGAAGAAATAATAAATAAATAAATAGAGAGTATTAAAATAGAAAATGAAAGGCAATAGATAGTATCAGCAAAAACAGAAGGTTATTATTTGAAAAAATAATTAAACCTCCCGCAAGATTGACGAAGGAGAGAGCAAACACAGATCGGTAATATTATAATGAAAAGGGTAAATACTACTACCAATTAATTTGAAAATAGATGAACTGGACAATTTTTTGAAAAAAATAAAAATATCAAAACTGACTAGAAAAGGAGAAAACCTGAATAGACCTGTAACTATTTCAGAAATCCAATCAGTTGCAGGTTGGTTCAGGCCTGAAAGACACTCCACCTCACCTGTAAACAGAGAAGTGCAAGGTAAAGTAGCAGCATGATGCCATTTCACAGCAGCGACACACTGACAGAAAAGTCTATGTCTGATGGTACCTGCAGTGGGCAAAGACATGGTGGAGATTAGCACCCAGACACTGTGGGTGGAAGTGCAATTTGGGACCATTGCTTTAGAGCAAGGATGAAGTTACTCATTTCCTACCAACCTGCAAGTCTTGGGTATCTGCCCTAGAGAAGCCTTTTCCTCGATGCACAAGAAGATATGCCCTTACACTTTGTTCACTCATTTAGGCAACACACACTTAGTGTGCCAAGCATCACAGGTCCTATACACCAGATCGTTGCTGCATTGTTCAAAAATAACCTACTTTGTATTAAAGGCAAAGAGAAATATTGTAGTCTGTTCATAAATGGAAAATATTCACATAGCAGATGAAAATAAGGGACGAGTTTGAAACAGGTATATATAAAACACGAGGCTGTCTAAGTGATGAGGTACAGAAAGAAAAAACAAATGTATTACCATTTAGGTAAATGTGGAAAACGCAAAACAGAATGCACCAGCACAGCAACATCGCCTGGAAGCTTGTTAGAAATGGCCCATAACACATTCACAGGAGTGGTTATGTCTGGAGAGAGAGAAAGGAGAGAAATGGAATCAGGAAGATATATAAAGGGGGTGTCGGTTACATCTGTCACACTGTTTTCCTTGAAAATATGAGAAAACATGGAAAAACATTAATATTGACTAACCTGGGTGATGGGTACACAGTTGGAGTTTTTTTTTCTTTTTCTCTGTTCATTTCATTTTTCAAAATTCCACAATAAAAATTAGGAAAAGGAGGTGATGATTCTACCCAGATAATTCAATGGAATATGATTCTTTCTTGTTTAACATTATGTTAATTGTATTTGATGTCATAACTATTATTTGTACCTATTACTTTTAGGCGAGTCAGGGAGTTAAACAGCAGCAACACTAAAAAGTTTCTGGAAGAAAGAAAGAGAGTAAGTATTTTTGCTTTAAAATGATAAAAACTCATGCTTAGATATCAGACTTCTAACTAATTGGCTTAATTTGATTTTTCTGTGCATTAAACATCCTGGCTTCTCTGTACCCTGAAAGCTAAAATAATCATTTCCTAAAATCTTTAAGGTAATTATTTAGAGCCATTTTATATAAAAATGCATCACTACAACATCATTTTCTAAGATTTCAGCAGGGAAGATTTTTTCAGTAAAATTGTGGGTCTAAACTTTCCCGATTTTCAGACTGTTTTCTAAAAAGTATCTCTCACTTAAATTGTAAACTTGCTAGTCATCTTTCATTCTTAAGTTTTAAGATTACAGCGCAAAGTTTATCAGAATTTTTTTATTTTGCAGCTTGCAATGAAACAGTCCAAAGAAATGGATCAGTTGAAAAAAGTCCAGCTTGAACACCTAGAATTCCTAGAGAAGCAGAACGAGCAGGTATTTCACCTAAAAAGAGTAAAAAGACATAGGCGGCCACTTTGGAAGTCAAACACCACAAGGCCCACAGAGACCCCACCACTAAAATCCCTGTCTGAGTAGTAGCGTGGGAAGGTGGCTAGGAAAACGGTGCCTTCTACTGTCTTTGCCCCGTGTCATCCAACAAGAGCAGAAAGTATTCTTTTTCGAAGTGAGAGAGGAACGTGACTGTGGGGGTATCGTGGGGGAGGAGAATCAAAAGTCATTATTTGAATAGACTATGGGGATTCTACGAATAACATTGCCAGGAGGAGGACAAAACCAAGGTTACAAATTATTTTCTAATTTTATTTTGAATTTTATAAGTTGCCACCTAGAGGCAGGTGATAGGTTCAAGAGCAAATGAGAGAAACTACCTATTGTCAGCCACAACCAAAAAATGAAGTTACAAGCCTTCTTAGAGCTTACAAGTGGGACCAAAAGGCCTGAGCCGCCATAACTCTGCAAACCACTTGCCATCGTGAGTGGGCACCACACTGCCGGTGCTTTTCCGGCAAGGCAGAATACCGGACGGAGAAGTTCACACACATAAAAAGTTATCCGAAATCCCGCGGTTTGGGTAGGCCCTCAGGCATGTGCTAGCCCTGAGATAAATGTACGTTTACTTTAAGCATAGCACAGAGGGGTTCCATCCCAATGGGCTGCAGCCCATCAGCTGTCTAGTCTCAGTTCAGTTTGATGGAAATACCTGTAGCTTCTGTGGCAAAATGACCCTCCATGGCAGTTTCAGTTTCAGTGTGTCTCAGTTCAGACTTTACTGTTCAGGTGTAGCTGGTTTGGAAGTTTTTATTTGTAGATAATTTACTTCTGTCAAAAACTATAAAGAAGTTTTTATGAAATTACTTTCACTACCTTGCTCTTAACTGTTTCCTCCCATTTTTGAAGTGACCCCATTTAAGGTACATTTTTTCAGAGTAAATGGCCCCTGTTAACGAACACTTAAGCAGGAATTGTGTTAAAAGGTACTTTTAAGAAAGTAAAATAAGACCATTAATTTTTTTTTGTATTGCAGTTGGGTAACAAAGAAATCTTTCTTCTGGTTTCACATTCTTTACTTTTTGGGGGCAGGAGGTTTATTCATGAACATACTTCTGAGCTGTGTTTCATGTTTCCTTTGAGCTAAATGCTCCTATTCAGGAACAGACCACAGGGCCTCAAAAGGGACAACAAATGTTTATTGTCCCGTGGGTCCAAGTCACTTGACCAACTCATAGATATATCCCGTTCTGGTACAAATTACCTAGTTTATGTTTTTTTCTCTTAAAGCACTCCTCAGAAAATTTTCCTTGGGGAGTGGGGAGGAGGGGGATTATGCATAAGGGCAAAGCCACCATCTCCAAAGCATTAGAATCCACGTGAGTAATTCAGGGCTGGTGGGGATCAGGACGCCTTAGAAGAAGGGACAATGACGGTAAGGCACAGTGTGTTTCAGTTAACTAAATTAAGAAACTACTTAGAAATCATTGTGTTGCTTAGCAACAAGTTTGACTAAAGAATGGAAATGTGCTAAAAATTACCCATCACTACAATAGTGGTGATTTTCAGGGCTAGGTAATACACTTAGCAAGTGTTTCTAGTTTGGGAGCTAAAGTACATTAAAAAAAAACTTTGAGCTTTTCTTCTAATACCTGGATAATTCAAACCACACCAGAGTTCTGGCATTAAAATATTGAATTAGTAGTAGCTGTATTGATCGCATCATATTGAGAGCATAGTGGCTTTTTCCAAAGATTCTTATAATGTCTTTTAATATGTCATAAGTAATGTCTACCACCCACAACTGACGCTTTGAGTCACAGAAGCTTAGGAAAGCACAGAACAAGGGGAGGCTTAAGGTTTTGTGGAGTTTTAATTAAATTTAATGAAAAGAAATTTGAGATATATTGATGCTTCTGACACAAGTGGAATTTGGACTTGAATTTTTGTGTTAAGCTTTGCTTTACAAATATGGCCTAGTCCATAACAAATTCAGTCATATCTTTCTAGTGTGTTTCTTGGCCCTCAATTCAGTTACTCAGTGTGCTTCCACATGGTCATGGGCACAGTGCAAGAGGTCCAAACAGTGGGTCAGTTCCTTTCCCTCAGATGAAAAGGTCTGGAACAATGTAGGAGAGCTCCCTTCGTAATCAGTGAAATCTTTCATCAACAGAAAACAGTTTCCTGTCTCCAGACAACCCCAAACGTTTATAATAATCTTCCCAACCATCGTTAAGCCCTAAACCCTTTCTGCTTCTAAGCCAAAGATAAATTCATTTTAACATTCTCGCATGATATCTCCCTTTCAGGTTTCCTGTGACCCTGCTGTTATAAACTCTCCCTGTCCCCCCAAAGCAAAGCATGGGGTGCATTTACTTAATTAGCTAGACCAGCATTGAGGGCAGTAGCAAAAACAACTCAGTTTAATATATTTTGGTCCCGATTCTGGATCCTAGCTCGTGAGTTCTTTGTAAGCCACCTAACAGAAAAGTTAGCCAGCCTCGGTCAGCCAGTTACTCATTTAAAACTCCATGTTTCTGTTTACGTTTTCCCGTAGACCTCCCAGACCCACGGTATCTCATCCCCATTTTAACATGTACCATTTCAAACATTAACAGCCTCGCTACTCTCATGCCCAAGTTTTAAGGATCAGTTTTTTCATGAATCTTATCATTCAGTAAGGAGAAGTGAGGGATCTTGCTTCAGGGAGGGTTCCCTGCTCACCACCACAGAAGGTGTTAGGTGCAGGCCGGGTTAACAGGCATTGGTTGTTTGTTTTGTTCTTTTTTTCTGTTGAGATCAACTTGGGGAAAGTTTGTCACTGATGGTTGTATACATGTTTTATTCTTAGCTTTTTGCTTTTCTGTATATGGTTTTTGCATTCATTTCTCAAATTCACCTCAGTACTCATTTATTTTCTTTGTTTTATATGTATGACTCAATTTTGACATTACTATTTTTGTACAAACAGCTTTTGAAATCCTGTCACGCAGTGTCCCAAACTCAAGGTAGGACCAAAACTCTGATAAGCAAGACATTGCTTTCCTTCTCAACCACCTCAGTGTTCTCGGGGTAGTGTAAACATTTGTGATTCACATCTGGTCATAAACGAATTACTGTCTCAAGGGTTTGGATTTAAAAGCTTGATTATTTCATGCTTGGGTTTCTGATGTCATATTCCAACTGAAATGGCCAAAATCTTTAAATAATTATTTCTGATAGAGTTTTAGCAGCATTTCCAAATGCAGACCTGGGAGCTCTAGTCAGGCTAGGGAAGACACACTCTGACATTGAGAACGATGATGGAATGCTGTCATTTGGACCTACCGTGGCTAAGTCTGGGTCAGAGTCGGATCCTTCACACACAGACACATGACTGCAGGGGATTTTTAATGTGCCCCACTGAAAGTTCGTTGGTGGTTTTTAATCACAGACAGTTTATGGTCTGTGTGCAGGAAGATCGTATAATATAATGTCATTCTTCAATGACTTTTGTTATACTTTCTGCTAGATCCAGTCTGTGAAGGACTGTAATCACCCTTCATAAGTAAGGTGACCGTATAATTTATAGTTTGAGAGCAAAAGGGGGTGCTGTTCAGAATGGCCAGGACTATAGGCATAAGCTGGAATTGTCCTTGGCCGCTGGGAATAAATGGTCACCTGCTCTTGGAATGATCTTTTAATGTCATATGGTTCTTCCTTCTCAACTGTGTTCAATTTATCTTTAAATGCTAAAGAGAGATGCATAGGGAATCTTTATTACTATTTACTGAACATAAAATATATTTAAATTTTACTACGGTTAATGTTTCACTGTCATCTTTTATGACTACCGTTTGTCATAGTTTCATGTTTGTATATTTTTCTTTATTTTTTTCATTTCTCTATTAGAGTAGTATTATACTTCAGCCATAAAAATATCTGGGTAGAGGAAACCATCTATCCCAAATGTAAGCAGAGAGCTATAACTCTTTGGTATTATTATATCCATCCTCAACAAAGTGAAATTTAAATCCACAATCTAAAAATAAAAATAAGAAAATCACTGTATGGTCCATGGGTTAAACTAACTTGTAATAGGACTTCGTTTGGGATATTTACATGTTCCTAGTATGATCCATAGAGTTAACCAAACACTCCTGCT